AAATTATTGATGAAATATTGATATAGTTGCCAAAGAATGAAATGGGAAATGATTTGGAAATGTATTGATAAAAATGGAGTTAATGTTGGAAAACAATAAAAGGGGCCTAATATATAATTAATTAAAATGTGTTTACCATCAGATAAATAATACATTGGCTATTCATGAAATAATAAAAGTGTAGATACCAGAATAATATATTTCTTTTGGTGACGGGTCAAATTAAATATATTACACTAAAGTGATACAATGGTTATGACCCCCGGTGCGTGTAAATTAAGAGGTAACAGTAAAGATATTGTAACGAAAAATGGCATAATAAATTGTTCTAAATATTACCATAATTGTTGTAATAATTAAGGAGTTATTAGAATATTAAGGGGCCAACCGTTACAACATTAAACTAGTCCTATAAATATCCCATCTATTGTGTGGGACTAGAGAACATCTCATACGGTACATAGCACTGGAAGGTTAGGCCGATCAATCGTGTTGAATTTCTAAGTCTTCCTAAAGTGTTAATGCAAATGAATTCTCAAGGTATTGTTCTAATCTTATTTCATACATATTTGATTTCATGGATTTATATGAATTTAGCTATTATATATTTATATATACATCGCATATGGAGTTTTGTTGATATATGTATGAATATCCAACAGTTAAATGAACTATTGTGTGAAATAGGCATTTTTACTCATGTGTGAATTGTGTAGATACATAAATGATTATTTATGTATTACATTGGATGATTAAGTTGCTGCTACATATCTCTAAATATGTAGGGATTTACAAATGGAATATATGATGGATAAGAATAATCTTAATATTATTGAAATACTAGTTAATGATTGTTGTAATTGTTAAGGAATTGAATCTAAGGATTTGATTGTAATTGATGTACTTGATTGTGATGCAAGTGACTAAATTGATGTAATATGATGTAAGATCATGATGAGGCAGTCCGTGAGCATGTCCCAAAATAGATGATTGATATTACAATTCTAGGCATAGCGAGTGTTTAGGAATTGTGGTCTATGCCAATGTAAGGAGATGTACTTGAGCCCGTACTCTAGAATTGCATTGGGTAGACATGACGTGGTGATTGATGACATGCATGGTGATGTAGTTGAGTTGGACTCAAGAATGCATGGGAGATATGAGGCTGTAGCCTATGATGTGCATGATGATGTAGTTGAGTTGGACTCAAGAAATGCACGGTGGAGTAATTAATTTGTGTCATATAGGGTGCATGGTGATGTAATTGAGTTGGACTCAAGAAATGCAAACATATGTGTTAGGGTTGGACCCTATGTATTGTTGTGACCAGGGGTCACGGGGTTTGGGTTATGTTTTGTAAACAAACCTTGGGCCTACGGGCCGACTACTTGACTGTATATATAAAGTAAGTATATTTTGAAAAGGGGTAACTTGGAGGTTACGACATAGTTTATATTATCACCCTATTTGAGGGTCTTGTGTTTGAAATACTTGTTGTATATATATTAGATGTCATCCACACCAGTACTTTATAGCCGTATAGAGTACTGACCCCCTTTTGGGGGGTGTCCCACCACCATTTCAGGTTGAGGCTAGAGCTTGCTACCTGTGCTTGTTGATCGGGGGATCATCTCGGAGGGAAGACTTGGTTCGTGCTTCCTCCAATTCTGTTTTTAAACATTTTAAACATGCTCATGGATATTGTTTTTTTCATTATGGAGTCTGCGTGCTCGTGTTTGCCCCGTGTGGCATTTGTTTTCAAACTATGTTTTCCGTTGCGTATTCAATTACTTATTATGTATGTTTATGGATGACTTGTGTGAATGATATTCGAGACGCCTTGTATAATATGGATGAGTTAGACTGCAGTTGACTATTCATATTGTACGGCGGGTTGTTGACGTGCTGCTCTTGTACGGTCCCTAGTAAGTTTCGAGGTCAATAATTCAAAATATTGTCAAAGTATTATTCTCGAGTTATCAGTGATAATAGTAATTATTATTTAAAGTATTTTTTTTGTGATTTAAACATTCTATTTTCTAGCGTTGTGGGATCATCATTCTCTTCCAAATCTATTTTATAGCCTTAAAATAGATTTATAACTTTGACTTGAGAACTAATTAGTATAATCAAGCTGCTAGCTAGCTAGAATATACTTCCTCGTCAACAATGATTTGCAAGTTTACTTTTATATTTTGTCAATATATATAATTTCATCTAATTCTTTTTTAGGCTGCCGATTTTTAATCATATTCTAATTTAATATAGACTTTTTTATATAACTTTTGAGTTTGAAAATTTGAAGTATTAAAGCCAATTTAACTATTTTTGGGTAAAGAATTAACTATTATGGTCAATCTCAAATTGTAAATGAATTTAAGATGAAGAAAGTATTTATATCAATTTTAATTAGAAGCACGTATATTTGTATATGATTCTTTCTTTCAAAAAAAGTATATGATTCTGATAAACTGTTGAATCACACAAGAGAGGGTGAATTGTGTGTGTGTGTAGAACTATGATAGTTTTTCGCCGAGTTCTAATGCGGGGAAGGGAAAACAGAAATTAAAGGACTCATAAATCTAACGAGGAAAAATCCCTTGGCTCGACAGGGATTAAAAAACCTCAACCTCCCTCGGAGGTATTTGAAAAACTCTTCACTAAAAGCCTCTAGATAAGTTGCAAGATAAACTCTCCTAGTTTACCCATGAGTCACCCCAACTCTAACCTCTTTAGGTAGAGTTCTTACTATCTTACCCTGTGGGTAAGGAGTCTCTCAGCTTTACAACAAAGCTCTCACTGCACACCTGAACCATCAGAGGAAGACATTCTCAAGTGTTTCTCTTAACCCCAATACAATTGAATTACAAATGTTAGAACTGCTAATAAAATTGTCGCAGGTACTCAGGCTTCTATTGCATCCTTGTATAACTAGGCATCTCACCATTATGGACAAAAGGTGTCGACCCTCGGCCCCTATTGAAGACATCACGAGACATGCACTACTCTACTCCTCTTCACCTCACTACATTCACCTCGAGGAGTGGGGGACTGGAAGAGCGGGGGACTTAGCGCCTCCGTTAATCCAAGAAGCACAAATTCAAATTTTACAAGAATTACTACTTGCACTGACGACATCATCACATCATATGCAGATTCAGTTGCCACAAGTCCACAACAGCAAGTACATACACATAGCCCCTCAACCCCAAGACTGGTGGTGATGGTCTCTTGCCAGCGACCTTCAACAGATGATTCTCCCACAGGGTTGCCTCAATCAAGGCTCGCCAATGAGATCGGATCATCGGCTTGGAAATCTGAGCGAGACGCACCGGCAATGTCAGAAGTTTACTCACCAGACGACGACAGATCAACACAGTACTACTTCCTTTCATCTCGAGTACTTTCGACTCAGGGAGTGGAGGACTCCTGATAAAGTATATAGACTTGGACCCCCGGGTCTCACGACTATTGGGCCTGGACAACGTCCCACATACACTCAGTAGATAGAATTTATATCATTGTACAGTTCATATATCATTCGTATGTACTAGATTAATCTTTTATGTAGTTGGGCCTATTGGGCCCATATTAGCGGCACAACCCGTTATTTCTCTATATATACCCGTCCTATGGGTGGTCTTGTAAACCCCAACTCTTAGAATCAATTCCATATTCATACACAATACACATTCTTCTTCTTTGCATCTTTAGCTCAATCTCTCCTTTAATTTAATGTTTGGATACCCTATTATTCATCACTTCTTATTCGAGTATTTTCTTCTCGGTCAAAGCACGCCCTTCTCTATGCATGAGCCTGGTCATATATAGGGATGTCTTGGAGTTGTTAAGGCTTTATGACATTTAAAAAAACTTTCTTTGTTGGCCAAACTCTCCTTTGTTGTATCTTTCTCTTTGAGAATGAATTCTTTCCTTTGAGCTCAGTCTTCTTAAATGTACAAGATCAGGACTTGATGTACTCTCCTTAATAGCTCGGATTTCCATATATACATATATATATATATATATATATATATATATATATATTGCTCCTCTTGCATGGAAATTATTAAAAAATGTTTCCTTATAGATATTAAAAGATATTCTTTTTATTTGCTTGAAGAAAATCATTTTCCTTAATGCCTTTGATTTAAATAACTTTTCTTCAAAGAAAAAATCCTTTCTTTGTATGATCATTGATTATTTCGTTACTAAAATTTTCTTTAATTTAGCAAGACAAAACCAAACTTGAATGGAGAGAAAAGATATTTTTTATAAGTAAGTCAATATATTCGATCTTGGATCCACCGGGCAGTTCTAGGACCAGGTCTACGGCTTGTTCCAAAGTGCGACTTAACTTCCTTTCCTGCAATCACTTATAGACCAAAAGTAACATTGGTTGTTTGTCATCCACAAAACATTATGTTCCAACAGTTTCTTTTCTTAAAAGCATTTGAGAAGAAAAATTCAAAGTAGTCCAAGAATAGCAAACAAGTTTCAACTTTGCTATTTTCACTCACTCTTATACCCACCCTTATATCCACCAATGTGAGAATTTTTTTGTCTGTGAACGGGATTCACTGATATAAAAAAATTAGTCTTTTCATATTGGTGAATATAAGGGTGGTTATATAGGGTGGACGGTGGGTACAAACGGAACTTTCAACAAGTTTAGGGCTATGAACATATGAGAATATATATCCCTGCCTTCTGCACAAAAATATGGATCGGTGATACCAACCAACTCTCAACGTCTACCACTTCTTTTTCATTATTTCCTTAACAAATTACTTCAAACCAGTGGCGGATGCAAGAATTCCAGATAAGGAGTGCGGAGCGGTAGATTAAAAACACATACCGATACTTATGCATTAAACTTTTAGAACAATTATATCTGGTAGGAAAAAGATTGGGGGGCACTTGGGTCTTTCAAATAGAGTGTCAAACATAGACAATGTATAAATAAGAATAGTTATGTTTTATTTTCAAAATTGAAGGTATTTGGTTTATTGAAAACATAAATTTTCCTCAATCACGAATGAATGGGTCTTATCTTAGAAAGAATAAAATAATGCCAATTCTATTTGTACATTTTATCTATGTTTTAATTCTATTTAAGAAATTTTCTCCATTTCCTTCCTATTCATGGTGTCGGCCGGACCCACATATGAACTTGTACTCAAACCCATATGCATTTCCAAAGCATGACATCAATCCTACACTGGCCCGGCTTCTCCGCCGATGGTGGTGGTGATAATGATGTATTCCAGATCTTGATTTTCTTATCGGCGACGATGAGCCTTCCCCACTCAACTTGTTGTCTCCTATTGTGGGCGAATGAATAAACCTTTCTTCCATCAATTGCCACGAAAGTGATGAAATGCTCAATGAATCTTTTCTCACCGTTTGATCTTCTATATTATTATTATTATTATTACTCTCTCGGTCAGGGATAGACCAATTTTCGAATATGGAACTCCCGTACTCTTCTTCTTCACCGGAAAAGCATCCTTTCGATAGACCCGCCTGCATAATTTCATCCTCTCCAGCAGGAACATCCGAGGTTTTATTCTCATCATTATATTCTTCAAACATGTATGACCCATTTGAAGCACTACTAAAAATAATAAAGATATAAAAAGAAATGTTATTAAAACACAAACAAAGTGTACAAATAGAATTATCACTTCCCCCCCCCCCCCCCCCCCCCCCCCTAAAGTATCTCATCCCATCCTAATTAAAGAAGTTTTGTACTTTTAAAAGGATCAAATAAGTCAAATTTTGGGAATTAATGCAACTTCTCCTATCTTTGCACTTTATCTATGCTTCACTCGTATTTGAAACAATTTCTGAAGTCTGAAATCCAAAGATATAGCCTAGAGATGATAACAATGCAAATATGTAGTAATTCACAAGTTATGACAAAAGCCTGCTCATTATAATGAATCAATTTTTGACACAAATATTATAACAACTTATTATATAAAATCAATCATGAGCTTAGCTGCATATGATCATCATATATTTTTGTTAACAACAATTTCTTTTGAAGAAAGAATGCTTTGTACTTCCTCCGTTCTTTTTAGTTGCAACATTCACTTTTTCACGTTTGCCTACGCACAACTTTGACCGTCATTATATTTAATTGTGTATTATTAAAAAGAAATTAAAAATAAGATTATGAAACTTCTTAATGAGACGAATTCAACAATATTTTCCCAAAAAATTAATTTACATACATTAATAAATAAAATGTAGTCAAAGTAGAGTATATGAATAGTGGGTAATTGGCAATGTTGCAACTAATGTGATACGAAGGATAGTATTCTTTGTTACTCACTCTATAAATGTAATACGTTATAACATATACCTTACGTTTCGGTTTATGGGGCCAATAATTGTTTCTAATTACTCCATAATTTAGCCCTCCTACTTGTTGTACACTTGTCTATGGTGCACTTTAAAATTTAGTGTGTTTCGGTGCATGCCTATTTTTAACCAATCAAATTATAGTAAATCACCATGTCATATTACTTCTATTATTTGCAATTTAATCCTTCAAACTAAATGTTCTTCTCGAGATCTCTAAATTGCGATCTTCATCACTATCTTTCACAAGAACACGTGCATGAGAATCGAACCATCTTTCTTGCCTTTCCTTCAGAATCAATCTTGCATAAACGAGAACGCTTGCCAAGAGTTTTAGCATTGATCATGGAAATCAATTTCAAAACTCCCAACACCTTTACATTCCCACATCGCAAAGTTCAAAGCACACATCTCAAATGGTGTTAACTGCATTATGTTAGGCTTGAGAACTTTGCTTCTTAGTACTGGCCAGGCTGGTGACTGATGTGTATCCATAGTTATAGAGATAGAGGCAGATCAAGCAATTCTAGGGTTTAAATTGATCGGAAAACCTATCTCAATTGGTGTTCTCTGGTTTTTTTTCACCGGGATAAAAAATCCTTGGAAAACTTCCAGTCGTGTGTATATTTGAAAAATATAAGACGTGAATTATAATTTTAGAATTACTACGTATAATTTTAGAAAATATAAGTTGTTGTTTTTAGAACTAAAATGCAAATAATAGAATCGCTATACTAATTTGGCGAGGATGGTGAGATGGCATGATACCATAGTTTCATTGGTTTAAAAACTTAGGTACGGGTACCTTGTGAATTAATAAAGGCATAGTAGAATTTTCATTTTTTTTGTCTGTAAAAACTTTTCACATATGAATTGTATTTTTTGTCTGTGAACAGACTTCACAAACAAACAAAAAATTATGGATAACGAGTATGGAACATGTACAAAAAGGGGCATTTTTCAATTTATCATCGCAAAATTTTAAGAGAGCCAACAAACATACCCTTTAGTTTCATCGTCATTAACTTCTTCTATATTCGTCTGGAGCGGAACATTTAAATGGCAGCCGACACCGCCAGTTTCTTTTAATTGGATAGTAACGTGGAGGGTTCCTTGTAAATGTCCGGTGGGGCGGCGGACGGGAAGGGCAGCGGTCTTTATGGAGGAATTATTGGCCAAAAGTGGTGGAAAGAAGTTGTTTAACGCAAGCTTGGCGATGCCAATGGGAGTGTCACGTAGCCATGCAACGTTATAGATTTCGAAATTGACGGCAGCGTCGCCAGAGCCGAGCAGCTGGTTTTCGAGGCGGAAGGTGAACTTGTGATTCCACATCGGGTTATTGTGGCCATCGTGATTGATCCTCGTCGTCGATTTATGACCGGAATCTAGCCATGCAACGGCGTACGTGCGTAGCGTTTTCGACACAGGGGGGAGATCGTGGGCGGAGATTAGGATGATTTGTAGGAGGGTGTGCGACGAATGTGATGGCATTTTGATCTAGGAACGTCGGCCGGCATGCAGGACAACGGTAGGGTGGGTCGTCGTCGCCGCCGCCCAATAGCTGGACGGCGAGCGACAAAGACAATATATACAAGAAAAGCGAGGATGAGAATGCATGAAATGTGATGGTTACTTTTCTATTACATGCAAAAATATATTCCCTCCGTCCCTTTTTATTTACCAAACACTACTTTTCAAATCAAAGTTGTTCAACTCTGACCGATTATATATTTATACACGGTAATATTGATAACATGAAAATTATATGAAAATGTTCTTTGTTAAAAATACTATCATAAAAGTAAATTTATTAAGTTTCACATAAATATATTAGTTAAAATAATGGATCAGAATTTATCACCTTTGATTGGAAAAGTCAAAGATGGCTAAATAAAAAGAAACGGAGGTACGTAGTATTACCTTAAATAATCAATGAACAATAAATAGAACAATATTGGTAGAAATTCATCCTATTCCATTCTTTTCCAAATAAAGGAGTTTTGGGATGCATATTCGCCGCATATTTACATTTTTATGTGTAGTACTAGTTTATATGGAGTACTTTATATTATCTTACTCCTATTATACATTGTCAAGTTTGTGTTAGATGTGAAATAACAAAAATAAAAATGATATGATTCAAAGTTGTGCATACAATAGATAAATAAATAAAAACACAAATTGTTTACTTTAAATGGAAAGTGGTAAGTTTTTTTTGGATAAATAAAGCTAATAAAGGAAAGATAACAAAATATAATGGGATCGAGGGAGCACGTAATATCTTGTTCTTCTGCTCTTCTATAAAATATGGAGTATATTAAAAAGAGATGGTTCAAAATAAGTTCAAAACATAGGTAAAATTCCAAAATATGAGTAAATATGCTTCCTTTTCAAAATATGACTTATTTAATCCTATTAAAAGATTTACATAAATGAAAAGTGCCTAAATAGGAGTGCATGAGTCATGTTTTTTTTTGTTTGTGCATGAGTCATGTTTTGGAGAGAAAATAATGATACTCTTACTCTATTTGAGAACATTTAATGTGCATGTTTTGCAGCTATTTAGGGAATTTTCTTTAAATGATATTTCACATACACACACCTGCTTATAATTATACTAGGTGCGGTAAAGGTTCGCTTTGGTTTGTGAGGATAGTATTGGGTCTGGATAGTATATAGGAGTAATGACTTTGCATCAATCGGGGTCAGAGTATTACAAGTGGTATCAGAGCAACATGTGATAGTGTGCTTATCCTGTAACACCCCGCGGAAAAGGCTAGTGGCGGTTTGTGAGGACAATACTAGAGGTCTGGAGGGTGTGTAAGAGTAACTATCTCGGATCCTGCGGGGCGGGGTATTACAGGTGGTATCAGAGCAACCCTGCGACAGTGTGTTAATCCGCTGGATATCGGGCGGGCACTTAGTGGGGCAAGATTCTAGGGTTTGATTGAGATTGGTTTAAGGGCGCAACGAGGACGTTGCGATCCTAAGTGATGGTGATTGTAACACTTGAGATTTAATATAAATGGATTAATAGTACTACTCATACCAACAGAGGTGCATCTCCTTTTAAGGGAACTCATCGCCTTAGAACTCCAAAGTTAAGTGTGTTTGCATGGGAGTAGCCTTGGGATGGGTGACCCCCTTGGAAGTTTCTCAGGGCGCGCACGAGTGAGGACAAAGTGCGCGGAAAAGGCTCGTGGCTGTTTGTGAGGATAGTATTAGAGGTCTGGAGTAACTACCTCGGGTCCTGCGGGGCCGGGGTGTTACAAGTTCTATCCTGCTTTGATACCACTTGTAACACCCCGGCCCTGCAGGACCCGAGGTAGTTACTCCAGACCTCTAATACTATCCTCACAAACCGCCATGAGCCTTTTCTGTGCACTTTGTCCTCACTCGTGCACGCCCTGAGAAACGTCCCAGGGGGTCACCCATCCCAAGGCTACTCCCGTGCAAACACGCTTAACTTTGGAGTTCTTAGGCGATGAGTTCCCTTAAAAGAAGATGCACCTCTGTTGGTATGAGTAGTACTATTAATCCATTTATATTAAATCTCAAGTGTTACATATCCAATGGATGTCGGACCGGCACATAGAAAGGAAGGATTCTGGGGCTTTACTGAGATCAGTAATAGGTGCAACGAGGCTTTACTGAGATCGGTAATGGGTGCAACGAGGACGGTTAGAATAGTAACTCTAACCTTACTTTTTGGAAATAATGGCATAAATATTACTTGTGAACTTTAGATGGACAAAAATAGCACTCTTTTAAAACTGGACAAAAAAGTGACTACATTTAAAATTAAAAATCTAATATGGGTTCTTTCGTCGACTTCCAAGCCCTGCAAATCAAATGCCCGACCCGTAGATCTTGTCTGCGCCTTTCTTCTTTCGCCCACCATCGTCGAACTCATTGAACAGGGTACTGCGCAGAAGCAGATCGTCTCCTCCACCAGGCAGTGGATCTTCGCCGCCTTCGCTCCCTGTCGTTTCCATTGCCTCCTTCGATTCGTTGGCCATCTCTGTCGTTGTTGCCATCGTCTTCTCCGATGTCATCGCCCTACCTTGCCTCTATTTCTTCTCTTTCTTTCCGGCGTATCCCTGGTGAAGACGGTGGTTCGGCGGCTATGGAGTGGCAGGCGAGGGGTGTGTGTGTGGTCAAGATTAGATCAGGATTTATATCCACACCGTTGGCTATGGTCAGATATGGGGCAAAAGGCTGGTGATGGGCATTGATGGGGATCAATGGGGTTGGTGGAGGATTGTTTGGCAATGATAGGGCTGGATGAGTTCGGCCGGAGGTGTCACCCACCAGAGTGACAGTGTCTGCGACAGTGTAGGGGTGGGTCAGTGAGGTGCGGTGGTGGGGAAGTCAAGTGTTGGCGGGGCTGGGCAGCGTTGGGGCAGATAGGCTAGGAATGGGGTTGGGAAGCTGTGGGTTGACGAGGAGGGGATTGGAGCCGAGGTATAGGGGGAGGGGACTGGGTTGGATGTGGACGTGGCTGTGAAGCTGTGGGGGGGGGGGAAGGGGCTCGGGGTGCAAGGGATGGGGCTGGAGGCAGAAAACGGGATTGAGTGTAACACTTGAGATTTAATTTAAATGAATTAATAGTACTACTCATACCAACAAGGTGCATCTCCTTTTAAGGGGGCTCATCAGCTAAGAACTCCAAAGTTAAGCGTGCTTGCACGAGAGTAGTCTTGGGATGGGTGACCTCCTGGGAAGTTTCTCAGGGCGCGCACGAGTGAGGACAAAGTGCGCGAAAAAGGCTAGTGGTGGTTTGTGAGGAAAGTACTATAGTTTCGGACGGTGTGTATGAGTACCTACCTCGGGTCCTACAGGGCGGGAATTACAGGTGGTATTAGAGCAACCCTGTGACAGTGTGCTGACCCGTTGGATATCGGGCGGGCACTTAGCGGGGGAGGATTCTGGGATTTGATTGAATTTTGAGATTGGTTTTTGGGCGCAATGAGGACGTTGCGTTCCTAAGTGGGGGTGATTGTAACACTTGAGATTTAATTTAAACGGATTAATAGTACTACTCATACCAACAAGGTGCATCTCCTTTTAAGGGAGCTCATCAGCTAAGAACTCCAAAGTTAAGCATGCTTGCACGGGAGTAGTCTTGGGATGAGTGACCCCCTGGGAAGTTTCTCAGGACTCACACGAGTGAGGACAAAGTGCGCGAAAAAGGCTAGTGGCGGTTTGTGAGGACAGTATTAGAGTTCCGGACGGTGTGTATGTGTAACTACCTCGGGTCCTACAGGACGGGGTATTACGTTGGGGGAGCAGGGGAGGGGTTGGGGGCAGAAAAGGGGGCTGGGGAGTAGGGGAGGGGTTGGGGTTGGGGGCAGTGGATGGGTGCGCACGATTGAGGACAAAGTGTGGCTGCCAGCAGGAACAGTAGGGGAGGGGTTGGGGGGCTGGGGAAGCAAGGGTGGCGACGGTTGCCGGGTGTAGCAGGGACAACGGTGACGGGTGGGGTAAGGGGCTAGAAAGGGGGCTGGGGGTATGCTGGACGGTGTGTATGAGTAACTACCTCGGGTCCTACAGGGCGGGTGTTACAGGTGGTATCAGAGCAACCCTACGACAGTGTGCTGACCCGTTGGATATCGGGCGGACACTTAGCGGGGGAGGATTCTGGGATTTGATTGAAATTTGAGATTGGTTTATGGGCGCAATGAGGACATTGCGTTCCTAAGTGGGGGTGATTGTAATACTTGAGATTTAATTTAAACGGATTAATAGTACTACTCATACCAACAAGGTGCATCTCCTTTTAAGGGAGCTCATCAGCTAAGAACTCCAAAGTTAAGCATGCTTGCACGGGAGTAGTCTTGGGATGGGTGACCCCCTGGGAAGTTTCTCAGGGCGCACACGAGTGAGGACAAAGTGCGCGAAAAAGGCTAGTGGCGGTTTGTGAGGACAGTACTAGAGTTCCGGACGGTGTGTATGAGTAACTACCTCGGGTCCTACAGGACGGGGTATTACGTTGGGGGAGCAGGGGAGGGGTTGGGGGCTGAAAAAGTGGATGGGGGAGTAGGGGAGGGGCTGGGGTTGGGGGAGCAAGGGTGGCGACATTGGTCGAGTTTAGCAGGGACAACGGTGACGGGTGGCGTTAGGGGTTGGAAAGGGGGCCGGGGGTATGCTGGAAAGGGGGTTGGGGTCAGTGTACGAGATGGGATGGGATTGGCGGCCAGCGGTGGTGGCATGCGGCAGTGGATGGGTGCACACGAGTGAGGACAAAGTGCGGCTGCCAGCAGGGACAGTAGGGGAGGGGCTGGGGGGCTGGGGCTGGGGGAGCAAGGGTGGAGACGGTTGCCGGGTGTAGCAGGGACAGCGGTGACGGGTGGGGTTAGGGGTTGGAAAGGGGGCTGGGGGTATGCTGGAAAGGGGGTTGGGGTGAGTGTAGGAGATGGGATGGGATTGGCGGTCAGCTGTGGCGGCCAGCGGTGTTGGCAGGCGGCAGTGGCAGGGCAGTCCTAGGGTGGGGTTGGCCGGGGACGGGCTGAGGGACTGTGAGGAGCGGTGGATGGCGTGTCACTGTGGGTGATGGGTGGGCCGTCACTTTGGTTGGAGTC